TTCGGCTGGGGAAACTTGAAAATTGTGGACCAAGATAACGCGGACGATCTGCTGACACGTGATTTAGAAATCGAAATTGTAGTTGAAACAGCGTGGAATAACGCCTTGAATGAAGAACCTGAGCTTCGAGTGTTAGTTTTGATCAGTAGCTTCAGTCACGACTTTCGGGTATTATTTCTAATATTACTTACTGCTAAAACAACAGGGCTGGCTTTAAATAGTAAGTACTACCAGTGTGCAAAACACACGTGAGAGAAATTTAAGATAAGAAATAAGTGAGATAAAATTGAAAAAGAATAAAAATGGGGATGAACGAAGGCGGCGTAGAAAAACAAAAGCAAAGCACTTTAACATATCATTACAAAATTTAATAAACCACTCAAACTCACTACATTTTTTACAACATTTGAGCTTTCGCTATCAAAACTTGCTTGTGTTTTTGTACTCTGTTTGAACTGGACGCCCACTGGAGCAACTCACGAGTACCTTGACTGAAATGAAGACAACCTCATACAATAAGTACTTGAATCTTCTTAATACTAAATACATTTTTCGTTCGACAATCACGTACGTTTTTCGTTGAAAGGTTTCTTCCCAAGGTTACGAGGACAAAGAAAGGGTGTTACTTGTCCGTCCAATGCTACGATATCGATACGAGATCTGGAAGCCAAAACACATAATTTTATTTATTTATTATTATTTTTTTTTGGGGGGGGGGGGGGGTAGGGGGAAGGCAAAGGTTACCAGAAACAAAAAGTAAAGCCCAAAACACGTGACAAACCGCTTTCAATCTGTTTCTAAATGTCTTGAGAGAAACAACAAAACATTTATTTGTTTGATTTGCATTTCAAGCAGCCAACAAAAATAGGAACGCGTGAAGTAGACACGCAGAACGTTTCTTGAAAACCGCCGCTGGCAATGTTTCAAGAAGATGTCCGAGCGAAAAGCAAAAGGTAGGAAGATGTCCTGCCGCCTTTGAACCCTTTAACGTATAAGCGCACCAAAAGCGCGCAAACTCTTCTCTTTTTTTTTATTTTGAGACTTTTACAAATAAAGTTTTTTTTTCAGGAGCCAAAGCGAAAATTTGTTTATTTGTTTCCCTCTGTGCTCTCTTTAAATCTATCCTCACGTTCTCACAGCTCGCTTTAAAATTTCTTATTCGAATCGAAATTAAAAAAAAAAAAAAGATTGACCATGTATTCGAACTTCGCATGCTGTTTCATGCGGTTCTTTACTAATGTTACAGCGATCGTACTGCAGTCTGTCGGTACCGACACCCAAAGATTATATGGTCCATTATTCCGCATATTATTCAGATATCGTGCCCAGAACGCGTCTTCAAATGTTATGTTTACAGGCATCCTAATTTCTTGTTCATCAATTTCCGCTGGATGATGTCATAAACATCTGATGCTTTACCTGCCGCGATCCTAGCGGTAGCACAGCAGCATAATTTGACGGGGAAGGCGTCTGTTCCGTTGTAGGTCGCTCTTCAGCGTGACAGTCTGCGAAAGCTCCAGCAGTCGTAAGTTGGAGACGATGCGACGACAGAGACACTCGCACTCGTTCGTCTGTTTGGTCAGAACTTGTACGACCATCCGCCAGGATCGTGACGTCCGACAGCACGCCACGCTGGCTCTTGTGACGTCATTTGTAGCACTTTGGTAACACTGTCGTTGCACGGGCTATAAATATAAAGTACACTAAGCACACTGCTCGGAAACGCGTTCCAGTCATCGTACTTTCAACAAGCGTGACATCCAGTGATTTCATCATTGGCTCAGCAAAATGACTAACGTCAGCAAGCTTAACAGTTTCGTACTCAAAGAAGGAAATGTTTGAATCTTGGGGAAAGTTTTGCGGAAGCCGAAGTTTCGAACCTTGCAGTGCTCTCACAGCGCATTTTAACTCAAAAACGTTCGAATCGCGGAAGAAAACGGGCTTTTCTTTCAACGCAACCGTCGATTTCATTCACTCAGAGAGGATCCTTCATTAGCCGCGACTGTTAGCACATGTGAAGCAGACGTCGCGTTTGGATCTGCGACCTCAGCAGACAGGAGTTTGGAAGTATGCCTGGCGTCAGGCCTCCGAATGTTACTTCTCGTTAATGTGGCACGGCGGGGGGAGAGGAGGAGGGTTTGAGGGGGGAGAGCGGGGAGGCAGTTCGCTTATCGTCAAGACCAGCGAGCATCACGCGCCAGCCGCATCGTAAAATGCTGATCCCTTTAATTTGACGTTGACGACGGGATGGACTTTCCCGGCGGAAACTCGCCAGCTTTGTCAACGCACGCATTTTTTTTGGAGAGCTGGTCCCGGTCACGAGGGGGGAAAACGTCTTGCAGGAGGGGCCGGCCTCCTCACACGGGGTTTCCGCGTTCACTTCCGGCGGCTTCTCTACTTCCGGTACCGCCTCCGCTTTGTGTGGACGGGTTTTGCCGGGCGAGCGCCTGATGGAAGCGTTCGGAAGCGGCGCCGGAACTGCGCGGGGGATTTATTTACGAGCAGTACGTGCCAGCTATACTCGCAACAACAATCGCTTTTTCATTTTTATTATTTTGGTTGGAAACGTGAGCATAAAATGTACTTGTTGCCGGTCCGGAAAGCTAGATGTTTTATCTTGACGTGTGCGATTTTCTCGCTATCTTAGGTGCAACACTGAGATGTGTCCAACCTTCAGCATTCAAGTAGTGGCATGTTGCGTTAATTTGTATTTTGGACTCTTAACATATTTTTTGACAATTGTGTTTGCTTTTCGCCTTAATGGTAGCACTGCGTGCATTCATACAGCGACGTATAAAACGATTTTCTAAAAAAATTTCTCTTTCACTCATTGTTTTGTTTCTTATCTAGGATTATAATCGTTTTCTTAAACACAAAACACACATTTGTATTGTGTTGCACTTAAAAAAAATAACAAGGAAATGTGGATTCATAAATTTATTAACTAGACGGCACAGGACCTCTCTGTAAGTAAAAAAAAAATTACGATGATAAAAATAAAGAATCTTTACTTGGTGAAAAAATTCCAGTGTAGCTAGAAGTACTTTCTCTTGTCTTAGCTACTTTTTTTTTTGTCGTTTTTTGTTGTAAAACGCAAAGTTTGTTTGCCACGTGGTACACGTTCTAAACTTGCAAATCTCCTCGGTTCGCTTCAACCAAGTGACTTCCTGTTTTGCTTCCGAGACGGGGATTTGTCCTGCTCACGCTGCACACAGAATTTCTATTATTACACGAACTAAAGCCCCTATTTGTTTATCAGATGCAATGCAGAATATCATTGTGAGACGGATTTCCCCCAACGTTTCACGAATGTATGACGCCACCATAACTTTGATGCCAGTGTCCCACTAGAGCGACGAACAGAAACAAAAGACAGCGACAAGCCTGGAACGCATGCAGCACGCTTGCGATGGTACCTCTGGCAGGCATTTTGTCGTTCGGTGCACGTCATGCAAGCACGAGTGAACGCAAGCCTCCAAAAGACACCGTCGCGTGCATAACGGTCGTGTTTGAGCGTAGCCTCCGTTATTTTACAAAGCCTGTCGAATCGCGAAAGACTCTGGTTTGAGGCTTCTCGCTGTCGTTTGTTTCAGTTTGTTGCTCCAGTAGGACTCGGGCATGAAGGTCGGTTCACACAGGGGCGTTTGCTTGCGATTTCTTACTTTACGTGAGGAGTCCCCGGGTTGCCACGCTTCAATCAAAGTACAGAGTTCCCGGTGACTGGCGACGTAAGTGGTCGTAAGCGGTCGTAGCGTAAGGTAACGTAGACAAACCTGCCGTTAGTCCACAAGGGGCAGTGCATGAGACAGCTCGTGTCGTATAATGTTACGCACGTGCAGGGCCACAGGTAGGATATCGCTCATGCAGAAAATTTGAAGTTCTCTCGATGCGACGTAACCGTCTGGCTGACAGCATTGGAGTCTTGGAATGTTGACCTCAATTTCGAGTGAGTCTCCTCAAAGTAGGCTTCTCCTGTTGCACACCCTGAGCGAGGCGGTGCACCCTTTACAGAGGCGCTCTTTTCTCTTGAATTATTTCAGCTACGAGGATGAGGTGAGGTTGTTAGGACTATTGGGGGGGGGGGGGGGGGGGGGGGGGGGGGGGGGCGGGGGGGGGGGGGGCGGGGGGGATGAAACGAGAATCAGATTGCGAGAACTTCGGTCGACGGGCTTTCAAAGTGGGACATGGTGGCATCGCAACATCGGAATGTTCTGCAGGTTTAGCCGTAAATTTGAGTTTCGAAGAAATATTTTTACCAGCCGTGAGAATAAGCCCAATAATAACTCACCCTCGTTGTTGTGATGGCAACCGATAATTTTAAGGCGAAAGCCTTACTTGCCCCATTACAGGAAAAGCCGACCCAAAGATAAAAAAATACACGTCATTAAGCACGTCATCAGAAATCGAAACAAAAGAACAAAACAAACAAAAAGAAAAGCACAGCTGCGCAGATGCTTCGTCACGGTAGCCGGCGGGGCGCTCAAGGTCGAAGCGGACGCGCCTCAGAAATAAACAGGAAGAAAAGCACAGCAACGCAAATGCTTCGTCATGGAAACCGTAGTAGCCAGCAAGGGCGCCGCGCATGCGCAGTGGAGAAGCGTGATGTCACCGCCGGACGACAGCTCAAGAAAAAGGAACATACGCACACACAGACCGAATACAATATTGGCAGAAACAACGTTAATGCGCGTAGAAGCATTACTCGAAAGCATTTCACCCGCGGGACTACAATGCTTTCGCATTCCTACACGTAGGGAGTCTTAAGTGCCTTCGGCGAATTTTCGTACGTTTTCATATCGGAGCTGGTAAGTTTAAGTGTACGAATCAAACACGAACATTGTCTCTCGTAGACCCTGTGTCGCGCTCTGTGGTATATATTTAAAGTGTCCATACTATCGAATGTATTTTTATTATATTTTGTACGGAGGTAATTTGGCATGTGCAGAATCGCTGTAGCTTAAGCATTATCTAATTTTATTTTGTTTTCTTTATCTTTGCAGGTGTCCTAGCCAACTGGGAAGAATGGTGGACCTATGACGGAATCTCAGGTCAGTGGTTTTCCCTAGTATTCACTCGAAGGAGAAACCCACCCCTTTCCTCCGCGGAGCGCGCATTACGTGAGACATACGTCGTCCCTTGTGGACGCCTCGCGGTGCCGTCCTCCTCCTCGGTGGAGGCACGGAGGGTTCGTTCTGTCAGCACGAACGCTCCGCAGGTGGGCGGCGGAGTAGTTCGCTTTTCGCTGCATTTAGCGAGACTCATTTGCCTCGTCTGACCACGGGGGCGTCCGCGCTCTTTTCGCGCTTTTTGGAACCGCCCGTGCCATTACTGTTGTTTCCGTTGTTGTAGTCCCACGTGAAATGCCGAAGTTAAATGACGACGCCACGCTCTTTTTCATTTCCCTCCATGAGGAGTTCCCGGAGTTGTGGGACACAAGCAGCGATCTCTACATGAAGTGAAACGTCGAGGCGTGGATATGGAAAATAAACTGCCAGAGAAATTTTTGCGTTTTTTCCGCAATTTGCGCCGTACACAGGGGGTGAGTGACGTACTTGTTTGATGCATATATGCGCTCTGCAGCTGCTGACATTAAAAGAACCATCAGAACTTTACAGGACGCCCTATGTTTGTTGTCTGCTCCTGTACTCGCGTGCGGACGCGGGCCAGTAGTTCGTCAAATATTTCATGTGGCACCCGAAGGAGTCTTCTATACTCGGTGTTGTGGCTTTCGAGAAGCTCTTTGTACAACAAATTTTGAATCCTACATTCTTTGTTCTGCATGCAACCGGTCACCAGCACCTTTTTTTAGCAGGCAGAATGTCGTCGTCGCCAGTTTCCAACAGCGCTGGTGCCATAACGGCTCCCCACCCCGTTGTTGTCGAAAGTGCGACCACTAAATTCGTCTGGTAAGACTGATATCCCTCACGACTCAAGCCTTTCCCCGCCCTCCGTCTGACGGCTAGAGCTGCGGACAGAGTTCCGCGGAGTTTTGTCGTCACGACATCCGTCCGCGGAGTTCTCCTTCGTGTGAATAGCCCTTAATTGCCTGAAAACAGCAGTTTACAAACGCCAGCTTAACTGGGTGTGACTCAACTGCAGTTCGGATGTGCTGCTTACTGAGTACGCTCACGAACAGCTCTGCACTGACTTTATAAGTCCAAGGACAACCTAAGCATGTCTTATGAGTTGTGAATGCGAAAGCATGCCGCCTACGATGTATTGCTTCCGCCTCGCGTTGTCGAAGGGCCTCGTCCTCTTGCCGCCTGGGACGCTTGGAATCGCGATCCGCTCGCGCCTTACGGTTTCGAAAGACTTTGTTCTGTCTCCTAGCGCGTTGCGCCGATGATGCTCGTTCCACCCGCAGTGTAATGGGAGACTTGACGACGATGGTGGATTTCGCTGCCTGCCTCCTCGCTCGTTGTGCCGCGTTATTGCGCTCCCTTAGTTCGTCTGCGGTGTACTTGCGTGGACGGGCAGCGTTCGCTACTGCCGAGGGTGTGGCTGCCGACGATGTAGACGCTTGAGGCGCCGCCATGTTCGTCGGCGTCGACGGAGGCAGAAGTGGCCGAGCGCGCGTCACCGTGTTCATTTTACCGGCGTGGGGCCCGCAGTGCCATCGGGTGGCGTTTCTTGAAACTATGACGCGCGCCAGCCAATGGGAGCCTCGTTTCTTGAAATTGTGACGCGCGCCAGCCAATGGGAGCCTGTCCATCAAATCGCAGCTACAGACGACAGGCTTCGCTCCATTGCGACAGGGGAATTTAGGTGCCATTTGGCGCGGCTTCAAAAGCTGATAATGCCGGATCGTTCCATAGGACAGTTAATGCTTGCGCATTATTAACGTCCCAGGGAACATCGACCGACGTTGCCGGTCGGCGCCGCATCACGAAGCGCCGCGTCGATATGAGTGAGCAATGAGCTCGTGCGCCTTCTCTACTATAGCCAGGGCGTGGCTCACTATGGTCATACTTCTTGGTTTGTGACAGGCTCTTCGACGTTCTTATTGTCCGATGCCGCAATCTGATTGGCTAAAGAGTGGTAATGAGACGCTAATGAGATGCTCGGGACTTTTCACGCCCTGATTTTGTTACGTTTCCGGCGACTATATCACGTGACCCCTAGATAACGTGCCACTGCCAGATCGGTTCGCAGTGATTCGCTTCCGACGCCCTTGGCGATGGCCGACGTCACTGCCAGGCAAGACTGCCGTCTTTTTTTTTTCTTTTTTTAGTTTCGGTATTTTAATTATTTTGAATTTTCACGAGAACTTTGCCATATTTCGACGACATGCGGAAAATGTCTAGTTGGAATGTGATAAACCTACGCGCTTATATCGCAACTTAACGAGTGAATTCGAGCGAGTTTACTTGGTCGTTATTTCTTAACATTCAGAATCTGACAGTCGCTGCGCTCAATAACAATCTTCAAAACGAATAATTTTTTTTAAATTTTAGGTAGCTTTTTTTATAAAGTATGTTGTGAAACGGCCTGCGCATAACGCCACTTGAGTTGTTGTGGTCATAGCTACTTGTTTTCTATGTAGGAATATAAATTTTGTGGCGTAAAATGTGCGGTGGGGAAAGTGCGCGGTAAGCAGTGAGGCCCCCACAATGGCTGCAGATGTGACGTTAGTGCAAGTCAAGTGTGTTCAAGCAGCGAAAGCTGACAAAGCGCGGTAGACATTTTCCTTTACTAAACACCTCCCAATTATTTCTTCTCGTTGAAAATAGGGGTATGCCTCGTAGACAACAAACCACTTTAACGACGCTGGCTCGGGGCACCGGATTAGCCTGAGCCTTTTGCGCTAACGAAACAGAGTGTCCGGGATTAGAAAACAGCCGCGGGTTATGCGCTGTCCAAACCTTTCTTTCTTTCTTTTTTTTTTGCAAAATGTTGGCTGTTATGAAAGAAAAAAGAATCCAGCAACGTTCGTTATAGCTGCTACTTGGAGACACGTCGTCTCTTTCAGGCTATCACTGGAATCTCGAACGAATATACCGGGTTTGTGAGAGAAAACGAAGACCAGTTTCTCGGACCGTATAAGCTAGGCCTCGCAGGAAGCTGAAACTTTCTGTGAATGCGACGATAGCGCGTGGGGGCAGAATGCGCCGGTTTGAAGACTCGTCATTCATTTGGATCAAGACATAAAAAGAGAAACGACATTTCTCTATGAGCCGACGTATGACTAATATTCATCAATCCAAGAAAGGCCATTGTGGGCGCGCTTTCTTGCATTTATTTCAGTGAAACAAGATCTGGTTAACAAGAGAAAAACAAAAAAAAAAATATTGTCTCCTTTTCTGACGAGGTTGTTTTCACTTAAATGCTGCTTGCGCCAAGGTTGCGATTTCTTAATTTTCCAAATATTAGGTATAGCCAGACGTCGGCTTAAAGGCAAATTTAATTTTTCTCTTTATTTTCTCTTATATGAACGTAACTTTATGCTCTTAATTTCTTGCATTCTTCCCCTTCCCTTCCCTTCTCTTCTTCCCCCTCCCTCTCCATTCTGGCTAGCGTCATATTCTGAAGTTCTAGCTTTCTGGAATGCATAGTTTCTATATGGGGGTCAATTAGGAGGGTTCCATTTTCTCTCATAGATCCTTTGCAGACTCCAACTATTTTCGTGCCTGGGCGGACTACGCATTTACTGCGCGTCGCATCAAAACCAGAGGGAACTTGAGTTCGGCGCAACCGAGGTTGGATCAAAATATCGCACACCAACACCATACTTCGTGTCTGCATACACCGGAACGCAATCCTATACTACACGTTGTTAAGGGCTGGGGTGCGGACAGGCTGGAAACCGGGTTCGGGCTATAAGGTGACGATGTTTTAATGAGACACGATTTGATGGCACGGAAGATGGTAAATTCCCATTCTGTCTCTGCCGCGCGTGTCCGCGGGACAAGCTTATATAGCCACGGTGACGTGACGATATTGCGTAACCGGATCCTGGTGTGATTAGAAGGTGGCTGTCGGCATCGATGAGGAGGAGATCCAACAGCCCCTGTTATTGGCGCGGAGGTTTATGTCTTCGCAGCAGCAGCTTCTCTCGATGTTAAAGAAAGAAGAAGACGAAGACCCATTGGCGTTGCCTACTTCGGAAGATGTTAAAAAGCCTCGGTTCCGGGTCTTTGAGAAGGTAACCGTTGGGCGATGGTGTTGCGCGCACTTTGTGTAAGAGCATCGTAATTAGAGCCTGGCCTCGCCGGGGTTTGAAACATGGATGTGAGAGTGCGCGGGGTACGTCGCAACCCGGATCTCGAGTTGAAATGACTAGCAGGTAGACGCAAAGCTAGCTGCTTTTTTCTTTTTCTTACTCTCCGTTCGAGCACCTTTAAAGGCAAATGCCAATCGGCGTTCGAAAGCGTTTGAAGATTATGTAGAGACAAAGACAGCTAGCTTTGCGTTTACTCACGAATCATCCTGACCAGAACTCGGTGTTCAGCCATGGCCACGTGCTCTTGTCTCCTCCTCTTCCTAAATGTCTACCCGCATACTCACTGACAAAATTGGAACGGTGGAACGTCTTCTATTGCTCCAGGACGCCCTCGTTGCCTCTCCAAAAACTGATGCACTTGAACGCTCGAGGTTCACGAGACGCCGAAGCGTTCTAGACCTTTAAGGGCGTCGCCATCCCGGGAATTGCGGGGCCGACGACGCCCGCTAGGAGCATAAAACTTTAGATACCGGCTGGTTCCGGCAGCACAGCTATCTGGGTAGGCAACGGTGTGGGTATGGAAGAAACTTGGCTAGATTTAGTGATGGTGGGCTATAATAAATTAGCTGGAACTCAGCCGGTTGAATCGAGTTGGCAAGAATCGCTGAATGTTGTCAGAGTACCGATACTCCCCAACTTCGTTTCAGAACCGGGTCGTGGCGCAGCAGTCGCGTTCCCCAATATGGCGCTGCCCTGTGCGGTCGAAACGAACCGCGTACAGTCTAAAGTTTGTTTTTGGTGAGAGCTCTTCAATCCGCGTTCCTGGCCTGTGGTGACACTGGTTTGTTTTTATTAAAGTTCTTTCCTTAGTTCCGAGTGGTGCGCGAC